CTGTAAATAAACAATATATATTTTTAATATTAATGGAAAGCTCAATATTTTAATCTGTATTTTACTATGATTTTTATGCTTGAAATCAAGCAATGGCACAACAGCGTATCCTAAATAATCCAAAACAATTGTAAGACAGTAATTGCTCCTGCAACAATGCTGGAAATACCACCTCGTACTTCTAGAGAAAAAAGATTTCTGATGTTTTGGACTCAGCCCCTGCCCCCTTGTTAATATCTCTGGATCTCCCATGTATATCCCATTGCAAGTGTACACTGCCCACAAAACTTGTCACTGAAAGAAACAGTAAAAACAAAGTTGCACCTATTACATGCACTCGATGGATGCAATACATGCATAAAGGCTTTTCTGCATGGATGTGCTATACAAGTCCAACTATTATAATTTATTTTTACAGCATTACGGTTATTTCAATAGTCTGGCTGTAGCATAGACCTAGTGGAAACATTGATCAAATTATCTGCATTCTACACAACAACGATGAATCAAAAGTAAAAAAAAATAGAAAAGTAAAGTAAACAAAAAAATCAACTTTGAAATAACATTTTGAAAATTTGAGGCAAAACATGCTAATAAATTTAAATGGTTAAAAATTATCAATCATTGTTTCCTTAGGTTGTGGGTTGGATTCTTCCCTGAGTCAAAGGGCAAAAATCAATCCTATGATATGCATATCGTTCATAGGAATAATACTGTATACACATGTAATAGAAAATACTATACATTTGTGTTATGTCTCTCATTCACTCACTGAGACAAATGAACAACAAAGCCACATCTAAGTAATCCAAACCGGCTGTCTTTATTATCCACCATATTCAACAACCAACACAACCAACTCGAACTTTCTCTGCTCTTACAATAATAGAGGGCGATATACAACTTTGAGTACACTACATACACATCTAGATGTGTATAAGAGACAAGCATAGACCTAGTGGAAACATTGATCAAATTATCTGCATTCTACACAACAACGATGAATCAAAAGTAAAAAAAATAGAAAAGTAAAGTAAACAAAAAAATCAACTTTGAAATAACATTTTGAAAATTTGAGGCAAAACATGCTAATAAATTTAAATGGTTAAAAATTATCAATCATTGTTTCCTTAGGTTGTGGGTTGGATTCTTCCCTGAGTCAAAGGGCAAAAATCAATCCTATGATATGCATATCGTTCATAGGAATAATACTGTATACACATGTAATAGAAAATACTATACATTTGTACTCTTATATTTCAGTTCCTCTATTATTCTTATAACTTTTTATTTTAATGTTATTTTCTGTTTGACCTGTTTATGCTCTAGAAGTAGTTAAGTTTCTCAGTGTTTTAACACCTTGATATAAAATTACATATTTTGATGTGTTATTTTCAGAAATCAGTTAGTACTGATTTTGATTTATAAATCTTATTATTATTATTATTATTATTATTATTATTATTATTATTATTATTATTGTGATGGTAATTTTTTTTCAACAAAATAATCACAATATGTTTATTGTAAACTATAAAATGGATGGAAGAAATATGTAGCATAAGAGTATACTAAATAATATTTGTTATATTTCATATCCATAAGAGCTATCAGTTCCAGGAGAAATATTAGCGAGAGGTCCTGAAGCCATTAAAGCATTTACATATGAAGTACAGAATGGAAAAATTACGATGGTTAATTCTAGAGTCATGTTCCTGGGCAAAGAAGGAACGGGCAAAACAAGCTGTGTCCGTTCCATGCTTGGCAAAGTGTAAGTACAGAACAAGGCCTTGTTTTTTTGATAATTGTATAGTCTGTTGGCCACAGTATTACAACATTCTTATAGTATCATATATGTTTATCACTCCTAGGCGACTGATTAACTAGGATTTTTTTGCAATTGTTTAAAAGATTTTAAAAGGGCATTTCTGCCCATTGGCTCTTGATATAGCTGTAATTTTAAAAGGGTTTAATTTTTCACTTATACATTGAGTACAGTACTACACCACAGACACACACAACACATTACTACAGCATGGTACATATGACACCATTTTGTTACTGAGTGCCTCCAGAGCTTGTCGCACTTTATTATAGCTATTTCAGCTGTTATTCAAAAACTAATTTAATGTTCAGATAAAAAGCCAGTGTAAGGATGAAAACTTGGCATATACAGTAGTAATTATCCTGTGTATATTTGATTGTGAATATAAGTTTATAATGCAAAACTAAGGATATATTATAAAGTTTTGATTGCTTGACAATACTATGTACTCTGTTTCTGTTTTAGAAGTTATAAAAGCAAGGTTAATTTCAAAATATTATTTTAAAAGTTAAAGAAATTATTTGGTATGTCATTATTTAAATTTATAAACCCATTGCATATGATATAATTAACTTTTCAGGTTTCTTGTTTCTAAGTATTTATTGATTTTGTACTATTATATTTATATAATAAATTATTTTATTGTTATTATATTTATCTAAATGTCAATAGATTTAAAAACAACGAACCATCAACAGATGGTATTGTAACAACAACAGTATTTTATAATGTTAATGGAGATTTCAGCAAATGGAAGGAACAAAAGGATGTGGATGGTATGAATATTACACTTTTTGAAATATACATAATTTAATTTACAAATATTATACACTGTTATTTTTATGAATTATTTTGATGACATGTTTTTGCAAATAGAAGGAACAAAAGGATGTGGATGGTATTAATATTATACATTCTTAGAATATAATTTAATTTACAAATTCACTGTCTAAAATATTATAATTCGTTATTTTTATAAATTATTTAATGATGTTTTTTCTTGAAAACTTTTCAATATTGTACAGTTTGTGAATTAACCAAGCAGATACGTGAGCATACCAT